ACCTCTGAGTCTGAAGAAGAAGATTTTTGAAATATTGGTTAATTTTCCCTTTGGGGCCCCGCCCTGGCCCCAGGGGTTGGGGTAGGAATCCCAATTTTACAATTTTGAAGCCTCATCTACCAAGGATGATTCTGACCAAGTTTGAAAAAAATCCATCCACTGGTTCTTGAGAAGAAGTTGAAAATGTAAAAGTTTACGCACGACGCACGACGGACGAAAAGCGATTGGAATAGGTCACTTGAGCAAAGCTCAGGTGACCTAAAAAGGTTATAGGTCATCAATAAAAGGTTAAATACGTTATCTCTCCTGATCGTGACAAAGCGAAATCTTTAAAATTGTTCCTTTATGCTCTATATCTGCATTTTTTTATGCTGTATGTAACTGTAGTATGTCCTTTATGATAGGTGTAAATATTTCATATTATTACCCCTTTGAGAAAAATCTAGGAATCTGATTGGTTAAAAACTACAGTGTACCAAACCGCATTCGTAAATACCAGGGGGTATACAAAAATCTCAGGGGGTATACGGTCATGTCACGTGATTCTCAGCAGTAATACTGTGGAATCACGGGATTTTACAAGGGGTATACGGGTCACGTGTCTTTGTATCTTACGGCCGGGTATCGGGAGACAACTCGCATTCGTCGTCTGCTTCGCTGTTTACAAAATGGCAAAACGTTTAGCTTCGCATACTGATGAGGAAATACTCGCCAAAAGGGCTAATTATGTGCCACATAACACACAAAAGTCTAACAGATGAGCGGCAAACATGCTGAGGACGTTTTTAAAAGAAAGGAATCAGGAAGAACAGTTCGAGGAATTTGATAAAACAAAACTAAATGAGATACTGTACTGTGCCTGTTATTTTTCTTTGTTTTTATTATAAAAGACTCAAAGGGGTAATAAATTCATATGACCCTACAGGATTTCGGATTTCCTTCGGCCTATCGGCCTTAGGAAATACGAAAACCCTTTAGGGTCATACCATCCTGTATACCCTGCCAAAAATCTGTGTAACCAATAATGTCATCCTGATAAAATACTAGCCACACCTTAAAGAATCAGTAAGGGAGAATTCCCCTTGAGCCGATTCATTCGGTAGAGCGTAAAACTAGACAACAATTTCACAGGAGTGGATGTGTCGCCTACACAAGCAACTCTTAGATCATGAGATTATGAAGATGGGATCTATTTATATTAACAGAACTATTCAGCATGTACTATGGGAATGTAATTAAGTCCAAAATGTTATTCTTGCTTTCCAAATTTGGATCCAAACTACTTGTAATGTGACTTTTAATATATGTAAAAAATGTTTTATTTTTGGGAAAATAACACAAAATCAAAATCTGAATAACAGGGCAGAAAAATGTCATAATTCTAAATATGAAACACTACATATATTGTCAAAAGTGTTTTTGCAAAGAGCTTTACCTACCTACTCTAATCAGTAAACTGAAAACAGCATACACTATCGAAAGATACATAGCAAAAAAACATGACAGGGAAACATCTTTTATCAAAGATTTCAGCACCTTTCATATAGTTTTTTAGATAATTAGATATATATATATATAGATACATATGGGTCAAAGAAGTAATATAGACGGTAAAATCCCATATAACTCGTTGCCCCATATATAGATACATATAATATATATAGGAACCGTCTGAGGATGGAATATGTCAGCTACGGTCCTTTACATTAATGCTCTCTTAATTAAGCATACCTATTCAAGTTTTATCATGAAACTTATGTTTTATCCTACATACATCTATATAGAAATTGATTTCTAAAAACACTAGTCAGTCAGGCTAATAGTTTCTGATTTTTCTAGTCCATACGCAATTTTTTTCCACCTGCCAAATAATTATTCAACATGGTAATCAATCTCAAATTTTGACTTGTCAAT